AATCAAATTAATAGTCAACCCTATCACAGCCCCTGTCGCAGTAGGACCAAACCAAGTTTTATCAGAAACAGGGAAGCCCCTGGTTCCTGCATCGAGAGAGCCCCAACCAAGAGCTCCTAAAAGCACTTCCCCGCCCTTAATCTCCACCTCCTCTAAATACACACCCTCAGCCCAAAACGTCACCCGCGGGCCCCTTGACTTGGGAATAGGTGACAGGCTCCTAAATCTCATAAAAGGCTCCTATTTCGCTTTAAACCAGACAAAGCCAGAATTTACCTCCTCTTGCTGGCTATGTCTGGCAACAGGCCCCCCTTACTATGAAGGCATCGCCTCCACTAATAATTTCACTAACTCCGCCAATCCTACTGGATGCGCGTGGGAACAACAAAGAAAACTAACCCTGGCTGAGGTTTCTGGGTCGGGAACCTGCATAGGCCGAGTGCCCCCTAGTCACCAGCATCTTTGTAATGTAACCTTGACAGTACCCAGCTCCAATCACTATTTGGTCCCCTCCAAGACGGACTGGTGGGCTTGCAACACTGGGCTCACCCCCTGTGTATCCACAGCCGTTTTTAGCAGCGGCACCCACTATTGCGTATTGGTACAAGTTGTTCCCCGAGTATACTATCACTCTGGAGACTCCTTTAATCTCCGGTATAAGCAAAAAACTCATACTAAACCAAAGAGAAAAACCTATCTCCCTCACCCTCGCCGTTATGTTAAAAATTGGGGTAGCGGCTGAAGTTGAAACCGGGACAGCAGCCCTAGTGCATGGTAACCATCATCTGCAACAACTTAAAATAGCCATAGATAAAGACCTTAAAGCCATAAAACAATCTATTACAAAACTTAAAAAGTCCTTAACTTCTCTGTCTAAAGTTGTATTACAAAACCAACAAGGACTAGAAATTGTCTTTCTGAAAGAGGGCGGGCTCTGTGCAGCCCTGAAAAAGCAATGTTGTTTTTATGCAGATCATTCAGGAGTAGTTAAAGATTCTATGGCAAAACTAAAAAAAAAAATTAAACAAGAGAAAAAAAGAAAAAGAATCTCAGCAAAATTGGTTTAAAAATTGGTACAACCAATCCCCTTGGCTTAGCACCCTAATCTCCACCATCTTAGAACCCCTCATCCTGCTCACGCTCATCCTGACTTTCAGGCCATGCATATTCAACCGCTTACTCACCCTTATTAAAAATAAATTAAACATAGTACATGCTATGGTTCTGACCCAACAATACCAGACCCTCAGGACTAAAGAAGAGGCTCAAGATTGAGCCTCTGACACAAAAAGAGGAGGGAATGAAACTAGGCCTCATAAAACTTAGAAACTAGGCCTCATATAGAAAAAAAAATTAACACCAGGTGGCTCTGGATAGGGTCCCACCCTGCCTCAATAAGGACCCACCCTAATAGGGTCCCACCCTGCCAATTCCGGGAAACAACCTCATGGGGTCCCACCCTGCCTCGAAGTTCCCGGAATCAACAACTCCAGGAAAAAACCTCATAAGGTCCTGCTCTAACCAATTAGCATAAAACACCTTGCTCAGGCCATAGCTAGACCCAATCATTTTGCGCCTTAAGCTTTGTTTAAATTTCGCGCCATAAGCTGTGTTTAAACTTGTGTTTGCCTATATAAACAACCTGTAACAAGCAGTCGGGGTCCCAGGGCCAACTTAGAGCTTGGGACCCTAGCGCGCTAGTAATAGATAACTCTCTGCTGTGAATCTCGTGTCGGTAATCCTTCGCGGCAACCCCTGCCCAGGAGGGAATCGACAGTTCGGTTCCAACATGCCGAGGCTCAATCCAGGTCTCAGGCCAGAACTGTTAGGGCAAGAAGCTCCTTCCTCCTGAGAAGACAGCCATGCCTGGTGGCTGCCATGCTGGTTCCCTGAGGATGACACCTGCTCAGGAATGAAGGCAACATGGACAAAGGATCGAGGCAAGGGACTGGACCCAGGGAACCAGACCCCTGCCGTCTTCTGTACTTCCTCTAACACAGCTGGTCAGCACACTCTTTCACTCGTTATCCAATTTTATCAAAAATAAAGACTAGGGCAATGTGACATAACAGCATTAAGCACTAAACCATTTGACAGGAATTCCTTTCAAAAGTGAAAAACAGTGTATAATTATATAGCTTCTCCACTAATCTTTGTTACCAACAGCCACTTAATCTAATCCTAAAGACTGAGTACAATATTCTTTCTACAATACTTCAAACAGTCACTTCAATTTATTGTATATTTTCTAAACGCACCTCTCTCTCTGTTCTGAAAGAGAGAACATTTCATCACAAAACAAATGGGGTCTTTTGCCTATCTGATGGTCTCACACCTTCACAACAGCTCCAAATACTTGGACCAGCCAGGGACAGACCAACCCCAGGGTTCTCTGCCAACAGAAGTCCTGAAAAGGCTCTGCACTCAAAACAAACCCCTACACCACCCCAAGGGAGGGGGAATGTTCCAGGTCAGGGGAGAAGCTAAAAGAAATTGAACCTAAACTCTTCATCAGGAGTGTCCAGAGTGGCTTTGGCTCGCCCTATAGGGCGAGGCCTGCAGACCCTTCGGCTCTTCTTTCTGGTGGCTCCATCTACAGGCTGCACCTGGGCTAAATAAGCAGCTGTCAGGGGAGAGAAGCAGCGTATGTGAGAACTGAATAACAACAGCTAACATTACCTGTACAGTTATGTTTGCCCATACAATTCTAACCACTTTGAATAAATTAACTAATTCCTCAAATTTGTAAGGTTGATATTACTATCACCGCCCATTTAGAGAGGTTCAGTAGTTTGCAAAAGGTGTTAGTACTACTATGTGGTAGATCCAGGATTTGAACCTAGCTCATCTGGCTCCAGGAATTGCACTCAAACTGTTATGGGATATGGCTTCGTTGCCAGTAGAGAGAGCCAAGACACAAAGACATAACGCAGCTTTCCCCAAGCCAGGAGCAGGACCAACACAGGGTCACACTCTTTCCCGCTCCTCCCATGACCTCCCCGCTGCTTCCCAGGTTCAGTCCTGGGAAAAGGAGAGACAGGTCCATCCTTACTCTTTCCCTGTTCCCTCAGGCTTCCCTGAGCTCATCTCCTTCCCCCACCAGCCTTGTTGCTCTGGGCCTTCTTCCTTTCACCCCCTAGGCACTTCCTCCTTAAATTAGGCCTTCCTAAATCAACCAGTTACTAGCTCCTCACCAGATCTGAGAGCCCGCAGGGCCTCACGCCATTCGGCTTCCATCTGAGCCCTATAGTCTCCAAACAAGGAGTGCATCAACTGCCTCTTCCGGGGCAGGGGCGTTCTTTTGCTGCGCAGGGTTCGGATTGCTCCAATAGCCTGCTCTTCTGCGAATAAAAACAAAGGACTAGTGAAAACCTCTACTACTGACCTCCTACCGCCCCACCGCAAAGGAAACAACTTCACCTCTGCCAGCACCTGCAGGCCAGGCGGTGCCACTGTTCACATTCCCCAACTCTATAGAAAGGTCCCTTACTCTGTTTTGGGGTGGGTTTCTGCCTCTTGAGGCCAAGCTCCAGTTGTTCCACACACCAAGCCAATTCCTGGGCCAACTGCTGCGCCTGTGAGGGATTTGGGGAAGTGGCTGTGAGAGGGCACTGGGACACAAAACTGCGCCTGGCCCCATCCCATCCCCCTCCCCGCCTTAACTCTGCGGACCCCAGATCACATGTGCCCGTGGATTCGCACTAGGGGATTCCACCCTTCCTGAATGACGCCCGCCCTTGCCTGGGCCTCAGCGCTTAGGGGCACTTCTTCTGGGGCGGGTTTCTCTGAGGCCTTCTCGCCTCCATTTGCCACAGAGGCCCTGTTCCGGGTTTTCTTCTTATTCTTTTGTTTTTTCGACGCTGCACTGCCTTTATCGCCTAACGGGTGCGCTCTGGTGTCGGCGTTACTGCTCGTGGGTTGCCCTGGGCAGAGACAGACAGTGGAGGGATTCCGGACGCTGGAAACCAGGCCGGGAAGCCGGTGTCTGCGGGACGCGCAGGGAGTACCCGGGCCTGGGGCCGCCGCTGCCTCCCCGGCAAGATGTCCTAGGGCCTGGAGAAAGGGGGGCAGCACGAGGGTCACGGAGGGCCACCGACAGTGCGACGCCCAGCCACCCGCGCGTCTTCTCCACACCGCTCACCGCCATGCTCCGCAGTCGCCACCGGAACTACGCGAGGCGGAGTCCGACGTCGAATTCCGTCCTCCAAGAGGGCGCCTGCGACTCTAGGTTCCGCAGGGTCGCGGGCGGGGCGGGGCGGGGCGCGGGGGCCCTGAGGGGAAGGGGCGAGGCTGGGGCGGGATGAAGCTGGGGCGCGGGGAAGGTGGGACGGGGCTGGGACCTGGCTCAGGCGAAGCTGGGACGGGGCTGGGGCGGGGCTAGGCGGGGCGGGGGCGGGAAGGGGACGGGCGGGGAGGGGAGAGGAGGGGCTGGGCGAGGCTGGGGCGGGATGAAGCGGAGGCGAAGCTGAGACAGGGTCGGGGCGGGGCTGGGGCGAGGGCAGGGTGGGGCGAGGCCGGGGGGGGGGGGGGGGGGGGGGGGGTCGGGGGTGCCTGGGGGATCCGGAAAGAGGCTGCAGGGCGGTCTCGGAAGGAACCTTGTGAGCAAGTGCTCCCGGGCACCGACTATGTGCCCGGCACCTTTCCGGATAAAAGTTCAAAGCTCTACACAAGGGTGTGTCTTCTCAAGGCTCACCTTTTGGTGGGGAGGGAAAAGCAAGTAAACAGAACTTGAGCAGCTGTGGCGCAGGAGGGTGGTCGGCAAAGACCCCTGGGAAATGGGGAAGAGGCGCAGGCCTGGGACCCGGCGCAGCCCGCGGCGCTCGCTCCGAGAGGATCAGGGCACCGTCGGTTGAGAGGCCGGCGACGCGGGACGTGGGGGCTCGGGTGAGGTCTGTGAGTTGGGAGGTTTACTTCCGTTCTAACGCAGTGGGAAGTTGCTGCAAGATGTAAATCTGAAGAGTGGCATAATCGTAGACGTGTGTTCTGCGGTTCTCTCTGCTCCTGTGCAACGAGTGGGGCACATGGGGTGGAGGGATGTGGAGGGATTTCAGAAGCAGACGCGGGAAGAGCCTTGGACAGGATATGGGCGTGAGGGAGGGTGGCGGTATGGGGGAGAGGGAGAGCCCAATCCACCTCTCTTCTCCCGGATGCTTCCCTCCCACTATACCTTGCTGGAGACCTGGGGTCACACACAACACTCGACCCCCGCCGATGGAGGCCTGACAACCGAGAGGAATTGCGTAGGGGCTGAGGTGAGACTGAGTGAGGCTTCAGGAGTGGGCTAGGCCAGGAGGGTGGGTTGTGTTGCTTGAGAAGGTGAGAGTTCGACTTGTCTGATGATTCCTGTCGGGGACACAGGAGTGGAAAGTGGTGTTTCCTGAGACCGTGGGATGGGAAGTGTTAGCTGCCTGGTCTGCAAGGTCTGGAAGGGTAAAAGTTTGGTCATCGCTGGTAGTTATTTACTGCAGTGTGGCAGATTACCCCCAAAATTCAGCAGATTGGCCGGGCGCGGTGGCTCACGCCTGTAATCTCAGCACTTTGGGAGGCCGAGGTGGGCGGATCACGAGGTCAGGGGATAGAGACCATCCTGGCTAACACGGTGAAACCCCGTATCTACTAAAAAAAAAAACAAAAAAATTAGCCGGGTGTGGCAGCGTGCACCTGTAGTCCTGGCTACTCTGGAGGCTAAGGCAGGAATGGCGTGAACCCGGGGGGCGGAACTTGCAGTGAGCTGAGATCAAGTCACTGCACTCTAGCCTGGGCAACAGAGCGAGACTCCGTCTCAAAAAAAAAAAAAATCAGCGGATTGAAAACAACACATATTATCTCATACTATTCTGAGGGTCAGGAATCTAGCAACAGTGTAGCTGGGTGGTTCTAGATCATAGCCTCTCATGAAGTTGCTTCACCTTTTGAAGGGAGGAAGACTTTTTAGACATTTTAAAACCAGCACAGTTTGGTGTGCATTTTCGTCCCAGGAGACTGGAGGTTTGAGTAGGGAGTGCACTCCAGCTCCCAAAGGGCCTTTCTCTGTCTCAGTTGACTGGTCTAGAACTGCTTCTTCCAGAAAACCTCAGCCCAGACATCTCCCTGAACACAGGCCTCACACCAGATTCTTTCCTCTTCCCTAGGCAACAGGTCCTATCCAGTTATTTCCTAAATAATCTCCACTGCCACCCCCACCCCCACGCTCCCACACACATCATCCCACAGCATGAACAACTGCAACGAATTCATCACTCATCTCTGTGCTTCCAGTCTCAGTCCTTCCTGTCTTTCCTGAACCACCTGCTGCTAGAGTGATCTTTCTAAACAAAAACTGACCATGACAGTGGCCATGCCTGCTGCCTAAAAATCTTCCATTTTCTCTGGATAAAGTCCAAGGCCCTTAATTGCCATGGACTACCCTTTGCCTGACTGTCCAGCCAGCCCATGCCCTACAAATCATACATACCTGTTTCCATGTACTCTGCCTCCACTAAGCCCCTCAATCCTCTGAGGATGCAGCAAGAAGGCCTTCACCAGATGCAGCCCCCCAATCTTGGACTTTGCAGCCTCCAGAACCAGGGGCCAAATAAATTTATTTTCTCTATAAATTGCCCAGTCTCACATATTCTTTTATAGCAGCAAAAAACAAAGACAGGCACCTTGACTATTCTTGGCCCTTTGTCTTTGTGTATACTTTTCATTATTTATTTTTTTGAGACAAAGTCTCACTCTGTCACCCAGGCTGGAGTGCAGTGGCATGAGCTCAGCTCACTGCAACCTCCACCTGTGTGATTCAAGTGATTCTCATGACTCAGCCTCCCAAGTAGCTGGGACTACGGGTGCACGTCACCATGCCCATCAAATTTTTGTATTTTTAGTAGAGACCGGATTTTGCTATGTTGGCCAGGCTGGTCTTGAACTTGTGACCTCAAGTGATCTGCCTCAGCCTCCCGAAATGCTGGGATTACAGGCATGAGCCACTGCTCCTGTACATGACCAGCACGTACATTTTTAAAATCAGCTTTTTTTCCTATTAAAAACCTCTTTGAGATTTTTGTTAGAATTGAATTAATTCTATAGAGCATTTTGGGGGGAATTGAATCTCCATATTTAGTAATCATGAGACTAACCCGAACCTGGTATACCTCTTCATTTACATAGGGTTTTTTTTTTAATATTTTTAGTACAATTTTATAACTTTCTCTATGAATACCTTTCACATTGTGTTAATTATTCCCAGACATGTCATTTTTCATTGCCACCAGCATTCAAATTGGAGCATAAATAATCTATATCCTTATGGTAGATTAAGAAAAAGTTTGGTTTTTTTCCCAGGTTCCTGGCAGAGAGCTCCTAAAACCCTTGGAATTTCCTCAGTGATAAGGGTGACAGCAGCATATTTTGTTCTGAGGTGACTCTTGGCAAGCCCCTAGATAGCTTTAGGATAGGGGCTGGTCACCAGAAAGATCAAGCCTTGATTAGAAGCTTGGAAGTTCTGACCCACCCTTCAACCTCTGGGAAGGGGAAAGGGGCTGGAGATCGAGTTAATCGCCAATGGACACAATTATGCCTGTATAATGAAACCTCAATAAAAACTCCAAAATGACTGAGTGGGCAGCTTTTGAGTTAGCTCATGTATCTATGTGCCTAGTAAGTGCTGTGCCCAGCCTCCACAGAGACAAGGGCTTTTGTGCTTGGGACCCTTCTGGATCTTGCCCTGTCTGAATCTGTCTGTTCATTTGTATCCCTTATCATTAATGGTAATGGTAAGTATAGCATTTTCCTGAGTTTTGTGAATCATTCTAGCAAATTATTAAATCTGGAAGAGAGGCTGGCTTTGGGGAATACCTGACTTTATAGCAAAGTCAGACAGAAGTGTGGGTAACCTGGGTACCCACCCAGGTTATTTTTGCAACTGTTGTCTTAAGTGAAGGCAGACTTGTGGGACTTACCCTTAAACCTGTGGTCTGATGCTCACTCTGGCAGGCAGTAAGAGAATCAAACTGAATTGTTGGATGTTCAGTTGGTGCTAGAGAAGGCACCACCTATTTTGTGTCAGGAGAGGAAAAACTTCTTAACCCGTAATAATTTATTTTTTGTCTCTCTGGTCTATCAATTAGTAAGAGAGGCATATAACACTCTCCCACTATGATGGTGAATTTGTGTATTACTCTTTGCTATTCTATAATTTTAGGTATATTAGAGATTTTTTCTTCTGCAAATTTAAAATATTGGTACCTTTCTGGTGAATTTGAATGTTTCAGAATTATGTAACGACATTCTTTTAACTATAGTAAAACTTTTAGTTTGGCAGTTGATTTCATGTGATAGTTACAAAGCTTCAACAGCTTTCTCTTCTCTATTCTCTTACTTTCAAACTTTGTGCTCAAGTTTTAAGATCTCCATATGGCTTGATCTTTTAAATCTAGCCTTGCAATCTTTGCCTCATGACAGGAAAATTTAGCCCTACTGATAGATATTTTATTAGTTTTATCCTGTTTGTCTTTGTTTTTCCACACCTTTTTCCATTTCTCACTTTACTTTGGATTAATTATAGATTTTTTCTCTCTTCCCACGTTTCTCTCTCTGCTGGTTTGGAAATTAGGTGCTCTATTTTTATTCTTTTAGTAGTTGATCTTGAAATTTTAATATGCATTCTTAATGTATAAAATTCTTAAGTTAATATTTTTACTTTCCTCATGACTAATGCAAGAATCTTTTGTTGATGGCTATTGTGAGACCTCGGTTCTTGTCTGCGTAGTTTAAAATAATTTGGCCGGGCACGGTGACTCACACCTGTAATCCCAGCACTTTGGGAGGCCTAGGCGGGTGGATCACAAGGTCAGGAGATCAAGACCATCCTGGCTAACATGGAGAAACCTCGTCTCTACTAAAAAATACAAAAAAATTAGCCAGGCATGGTGGTGGGCCCCTGTAGTCCCAGCTACTCAGGAGGCTGAGGCAGGAGAATGGTGTGAACCTGGGAGGTGGAACTTGTGGTGAGCTGAGATCACACCCTGCACTCCCGCCTGGGCGACAGAGCGAGACTCCGTCTCAAAAAAAAAAAAAAGTAATTTTTTAAAAACTAGCTGGGCGTAGTGGTGTGTACCTGTAGTCCCAGCTACTTAGGAGTCAGAGGCAAGCGGATCACTTGAGCCCAGAAGTTCAAGGTTGCAGTAAGCCATGATTGCACCACCCTGCACTCCAGCCTAGAAGACAGAGACCCTGTCTCAAAAAAATATATAAAATATAGGAGAATGGATGTCAGTAAATAAATGAAAAGCACAAAGTCATTAAAGACACCACCACACAAGAAATTAAAAGCCAAAAACATCTAATTTTTAAGTTAGGAAATATTATGAGAAAATATATACCAAGAAGGAAGATGAAAAAAAGAATATGACATCAATTAAGGAAAAAAATAACCGTATACTTCCATAGTTAAAGAGAATGCTTGGGAAAGGGTACTACTGTAAATTTTCCTGACTATAAGCATCTCAAAAAATCAGTGAAAATGCAGGACAGGAATGTGCATGTCCTGAAGAGAAGGCAGGTATCAGAGCCCTGAAATCTTCTTTATAAAGGGCCCAACTCCAGAGATGGTCTTCCTGTAACAGTCAACATTTACTTAGACTGGATTTTGCAAGATTTTAGCATATGCTTCTTTTCTAAAACAGTTAAAGACAGTCCTAAGCTATCAAAGGTACATTTGCTGACAAATATGGCTCTGATAACACTAACAAAAATTAGTTCATGTCCAGTTATTAACAGTTCCCTTGACCTTACAACTAATTAATGAGGCAGATGAGGCCGGGCGCGGTGGCTCACGCCTGTAATCCTAGCACTTTGGGAGGCCGAGACGGGCGGATCACGAGGTCAGGAGATCGAGACCATCCTGGCTAACACGGTGAAACCCCGTCTCTACTAAAAAATACAAAAAACTAGCCAGGCGAGGTGGCGGGCGCCTATAGTCCCAGCTACTCGGGAGGCTGAGGCAGGAGAATGGCGTGAACCCGGGAGGCGGAGCTTGCAGTGAGCTGAGATCCGGCCACTGCACTCCAGCCTGGGCGACAGAGCGAGACTCCGTCTCAAAAAAAAATAAAAATAAAAATAAAAATAAAAAATGAGGCAGATGAGGTACATTTTGTTATCATCTCCATTTTATAAATGAAGGAAATGGATTTTCAGAGCTTAAGGGACTTGCCCAAGATCTGTAAGCTTGAGTCAAAGTCTTAGACTTTTCAGCTGGTCTGTACATCATAGTGCATGGGCACCAGTCTAGCTGAGTTCTAGTTTGGTCAATTATTAGAAGTGTGACCTTGGCCAAATTACTCAGCTTCTATATGATTTAGGTCCCTTATCTGTGAAGCAGGAAAAAACAATAGTAATTACCGGGATGGTTAACTTTACCTGTCAAGTTGACTAGCCATGGGGTGCCCAGATTAAACATTATTTCTGGGTGAGGGCATTGCTGGATGAGATTAGCATTTGAATCAGCGAGGTAGATTCCCCTTCCCAACATGGGTGCATGTCATCCAATTTGTTGAGGACGTGACATAGAAAAAGTGGAACAAGGAGGAATTTGCCCCTTTATTCCTGTCTCACCTTGAGCTGAGATATCTACTTTCATTTTCTCCAGCCCTGGGACCGAGGTTTATGCCGTCAGCTCCCCTGGTTCTTAGGCCTTTGGATTCCGGCTCAGACTGAATTACACCACTGCCTTTCCTGGGCCTCCAGACTACAGACAGATCATAGAACTCCTCAGCCTCCGTAATTGTGTGAGCCATTCCATATCCATCTACCTATCTAGCTTCTGCTGGTTCTGCTTCTCTAGAGAAGCATGATTAATATGCCACCTGAAGAGGTTGTTCTGGGGAATAAATGGCACAGAATATGCACTCAATAAATGCTAAATGATATCATTGTTGTCAGGGCAAGTACTGACAGAGCATAATCAGAACTCTCAGTAATGCCAGCTGCCTGAATCCTCTCCCCTGAAATCTTCCCAGGCCCCTCAGGACACACACACAGACACACACACACATCATTGCCTTCACCCTCTCTTCCCTCCTCCTCACCTCCCAGCCCCCACCTCCATCTGGGAAGGCCTGTGCTGGTGGCTGCACTATATTGTTCTTAGTCCTTCACCATAGAGTCTTTATGGCAACCCCAGCCTATCCATGTGATATGGTTTGGATTTGTGTCCCAGCCACATCTCATGTCTAGTTGTAATCCCCAGTGTTGGAGGAGGGGCCTGGTGGGAGGTGATTGGATCGTGATGGTGGATTTCCCCCTTGCTGCTCTCATGATAGTGAGTTCTCACAACATCTGGTTGTTTAAGTGTGTAGCACCTCCCCCTTTGCTCTCTCTTCCTCCTTCTCCAGCCATGTAAGATGTGTCTGCCTCCCATTGGCCTTCTGCCATGATTGTAAGTTTCTTGAGGCCTCCTGAGCCATGCTTCCTGTACAGCCTGTGGAACTGTCAATTAAACCTTTTTTTAAAATATAAATTGCCCAGTCTCAGTTATGACAGAATATAGCAATGAAAGAAAAGACTTTCTTTTTCCTTTTTTTTTTTTTTTTTTTTGAGATGGAGTCTTGCTCTGTTGCCCAGGCTGGAGTTGAGTGGCACAATCTCGGTTCACTGCAAGCTCCGCCTCCCGGGTTCATACCATTCTCCTGACTCACCCTCCCGAGTGGCTGGGACTACAGATGCCCGCCACCACGCCTGGCTAATTTTTTTGTATTTTTAGTAGAGATGGGGTTTCACCGTGTTAGCCAGGATGTTCTTGATCTCCTGACCTCATGATCTGCCCACCTCAGCCCCCCAAAGTGCTGGGATTATAGGAGTGAGCCACCGCGCCCGGCCTAAGAAGAGACTGATACACCTGCCTGCTGTGTTTAACAGAAGCGCTTGCTCAGAGGCTGACTGAACAGAAAGTTCTCTCACGAGCATGTTTGTCTCTCAGGAGCCCGCTCACCTCAGCACCTACCTGGGTCAGCCATCCATGGCTATTTATCCATGCAGCACTGTATCTGACAGATTGTGGAGGGCTTAGTAAAGTCAAAATCTTGCTTCTTGGGAACAGGCTTAGTGGATAACGTCTTCCCAAGATCTCTGGAGCTTCAGTGGGGGTGATAGTGTTACAGTAGGTAGTCAGGCAGTCAGGAGAGCACCCCACCCACCAGGAACACCAGGTGACCATCAGGGGATAGTCAGGCAGTTGTTGTCTCTTTCAAATAACAATTGGTTGCTGCCAGCACCAGGGAAAGGCAGTCTCCCAACAGATAGAAAACACCTGAAGCTGGTGATCAGCAGCTTCCCAATAAGATCTTAGGAGCTGGGCAAGCAGGCTGGAGCATGCACACTGGGAGGTGACGTGGCAGAGTTTAACTGGTTGATGACCTTATTGGAAGACTCAACTGGTAAGGAAAGAAACATCTTAAGTGAGCATACGCACAACTCCAGTAAACACACTGGGCATGTGCCCCACCTCCACTCCCAAGTGCTGGCAGGCCACTGGCATGTGGACAGCCCACCCCAAGGGAGGAATCAGAGAAGGGATGCACCCCCACCCCGACCGCCACAACCTTGCCAGTGTATCAAACCCCAAGTCAAGGATCAAACCATGCATTTGATCTCTTGAGTGGCCCACTTGGCCCTCTTTCAAGTGTACTTTACTTCCTTTTGTTCCTGCTCTAAAGCTTTTTAATAAATATTCACTCCTGCTCTAAAACTTGCCTCCATCTTTCCCTCTGCCTGATGCTTCATGCCTCTCTGTCAAATTCTCTCTTCTGAGGAGGCAGACCCATGTGGACTTACCACTGTTAACAATGGATCACACAGCAGCGAAGGAGACAGAAACGCCACAAAAGACCCTGCAGCCAGTCAGGGAAGTCAGGGAAGGACGCCTGAGCGTCCCAGACGGCCAGCCCTACCAGGGGGACTGGCGCGAAGAGCCTAACTGTGCATTCCCGGAGAAAGCAGGGGAGGGTTCAGAGCTGACAGCAGCACCAGGCCAGGGGTACCACGCACACCCCAAGACTCATCTCCATTCCTGCTCCCAGAGGGAGGAAACAACCTGGGTGGGAAGCATGGTCCTGAGGCAGTCCACGTGCTTCTGGACTTCAACGCAGCTGGATCCACTCCAGGTGCCCGTGGAGGACTATGGTCTCGGTGGTGTCCGGACACACTGAGGCATCCTCTCTACCCTCACCCACTCGCCCGAGATGTGCTGGGTCCCCAAAAGCCCCAGTGGGACTTCCTTGAACGCACCCGCCCTTGCGCAGCAGGAGGCAAGGGAAGCCGCATGTGATCCTTATAGATACCTGCACCGTCTTCCAACGCTCAGAGAATCCCCCACTGACCTTTGCTTTCTGCCTTTCCACCTCCTTTACAGTTGAGATGTTTTTTATTGTCGAGTCGTGCTACAGCAGAATGTTCGTGTCCACCACAAAATGCCTGTGTTGAAACCCAGTCCCCACTGAGATGGTTCAGATGCGGTAATGAGGATGGAGGCCCAAGACAGGATTAGGATGAAGATCCCCAGGCTCCCCCTTTCTGCTAGGCAAAGGTGCAGTGTGAAAACAACAATCTGCAAACCAGGGAGTCACCTTCACCAAGAACAGCCAGCTGGCACCCTGATCTTGGACTTCAGCCTCCAGAACTGTGAGAAGTAAATTTTTGTCAAAGCCATTTATCCTATGGTAGTCCGTTTAGACAAGTCGTAAGAGTTATTTATATATTCTGGATACTGTGCCCTTATCAGATATATCATTTGCAAGTATTTTCTTCCATTCTATAAGTTGTCTTTTCACTTTCTTGATGGTATTTCTTGAAGCACAAGTTTTTCATTTTGAAGTCCAACTTATCTTTTATTTGGTTGCTTGTGTTTGTGGTGTCACTTAAAAGAAACTATTGCCGAATTTTAGGTCACAAAAATGTATACCTTTTTTTTTCCTAAGAGTTTTATAGTTTTAGTCTTACAAATAGGGGTTTCATCATTTTGATTTTTGTTTGTTTTGAGACAGAGGTTTGCTCTGTTATGCAGGCTGGAGTGCAGTGGCACAATCTTGGCTCACTGCAACCTCTGCTTCCTGCCCTTCTGCCTCTGCCCTTCCATGAAGACATCTTTAGCCTGCTCAGGCTGGACACACTGTGCCAGGCTTGCTATATGGATGGCCTCCACCCTGCTGCTCTTTCCTGTTTTGGTTCCCCCAGCCCTGGTATGGATGCTACCTTGCTCAGCTTTACTTTATACCTTTGGAACTAAGTTGTCTGGAAAGGAGAAGAGGAAATGTAGAACCTTGGTCTTTAGAATTAAAAAGCTGTGGTCTTTTTATTATACCATATTTCCTGCTTGCTGTATTGTTTCAGGTTGTGAGGCAGATAACCAAGAGTTGCCTCTCCAAAAGGAACCCCTAAAGCATGAAACCACAGTGGGTTGTGTAAGTGTTAAAAAGGAGATATTGACTAAGCACCCAACTTTTTTAAAGCCTGTGAAGTTGTGAATCTACTAGAGAAATATCAGGGAAATCTTTGTAGAGGAAAACTAAGAAAATGTTTAAGTACTAGTCAAGTAAATGTGAAGATAAGTCATAGTGATCCATAAAAACATTCCATGGGAGAAAAGCCAGGAGTATAACAAGGTTAACAGCTTCCTAGGCTTGACTTCAAACCCTGTAGCATATCTGAATGTTCCTACAAAAGAGAAAACCTATTAAGGTAATTCATCTGGACACAGCTTCAGATAACTCACATTTTAACAATCACCAGAAAGCCCACATCCTAATGAAATCTCATAAACACGCAGAATGTCAGAGTACAACCTTTAATAAGCACTGAAATAATTACCGTGGAGAGGAATTGTGTAGTGTAGTGAACATGGTAAGCCTTAAGAAGGACTAATGCAATTTAGAAAACACCATAGATTTCACTATGAAGACAAGTTCTATGAAGGCACAGTGTGGGAAAACCTTCAACCACAGCTCTAATCTTGTGTAACACCAGAGAACCTACATTGGAAATAAGCCCTATCAGTGTAACAAATGTGGGCCGGGCGTGGTGGCTCAAGCCTGTAATCCCAGCACTTTGGGAGGCCGAGACGGGCGGATCACGAGGTCAGGAGATCGAGACCATCCTGGCTAACACGGTGAAACCCCGTCTCTACTAAGAAATACAAAAAACTAGCCGGGCGAGGTGGCGGACGCCTGTAGTCCCAGCTACTCGGGAGGCTGAGGCCGGAGAATGGCGTGAACCCAGGAGGCGGAGCTTGCAGTGAGCTGAGATCCGGCCACTGCACTCCAGCCTGGGCTACAGAGCGAGACTCCGTCTCAAAAAAAAAAAAAAAAAAAAAAACAAATGTGGAGAGGCCTTTGTTCAAAGTTCTATTTTGCCATCACAGAACTCACACTGGAGAGAAACCCTATGAATGTAATGAGTGTGAAAGAGCATTCTCTCTGGGATCAACCATTATGAAGCCCCAGAGGAATACTACTGGTGAGCAACCCTACACACATGTAAACAATGTGGGAAGGTCTTTAGTCAGCATCCAGCCTTTATTTGACATCTGGAAGTTCACACAGGGTAGAAATCTTATGAACATACTGGATGCAGAAAACCCTCAATAACAGTTCTGCCCCCTTCGCCATGGAAGAGCAGACTGGTGAATGCAGTGTACAAATGTAATAAAGACAATTTGCTAAAGGTCATTTAAACCACAGGTCAGACTAGACCTTAGAGCAGTACAGTTCCTCCAGGATGTGACTGCTGTGTGCTGTGACCAGAAAGTAAATTACACTGTACTAGTTTCAGCTGGAAAACAGTAAATATTTTTCTGAAACATTAATCTGATCTTGCCTCTCTCTGCTTAAATCCTTTAATGACGTCCCACATCTTATAGCAGCATTTCTCAAAGCTGCTAACAGCAGAGGTAATGTGGAAGGAAAATAAAATAAGTAATATTAAAGTTTAAATAATAAACATAACATAGGTAATAGTTAACATTTAGTGTAGGCATCTACACATAGGCTAAGAAATTTAAGCAGCCCCGCCCAGCATTTCTAAGAAGGTGCAGCTGCAAGCTTATCTCACCCTTCCAAGCTTACCTCCGGCCTCCCGACTCCCGCATACTTCTGTAATTCCTGTTTTCCCTTACCCCAACTCTGTCCAGCTTCAAGGTTGACTGGTCAAGATCACTAAATGTAAGTTTTCTCAGAATTGTCACAGGTTGAATAATTTACTGTCTTTGTCTGAAACTTGTATCCTGCCTTGTTTTTCACGCCTCAAGCGACAAATAAGCAAGCCTGCTTTCTCTGTCTGGGTCGGCAGCCATTTTGGGCATGAGCCTGCTGTCTGCCCAGGTACCCGATTTAAAGTTGTCTTTGGTCTCCAAAGGTCTCTTTGTCTTCCATTGCTAAAGTGTGTTTTTTTTTTTTTTTTTTGAGAGGGAGTCTCGCTCTGTCGCCCAGGCTGGACTGCAGTGGCCAGATCTCAGCCTCCCGGGTTTACGCCATTCTCCTGCCTCAGCCTCCCCAGTAGCTGGGACTACAGGCGCCCGCCACCTCGCCCGGCTAGTTTTTTGTTTTTTGTTTTTTGTTTTTTTTTAGTAGAGACGGGGTTTCACCGTGTTAGCCAGGATGGTCTCGATCTCCTGACCTCATGATCCCCCCGTCTCAGCCTCCCAAAGTGCTGGGATTACAAGCTTGAGCCACCGCGCCCGGCCTCCTTGGCTAAAGCTTTACTGCAACAGTAAGTGCTCACTAAATACCCCTAGTAAGTTTGGGATCAAGGGAGTAGGAAAGCTGGAAGAAAAGAAATAGCAGTCAACAGGAGAAGTGAGGAACCGACCCTACTGTCCTTTTTTAGGCCGGCTTGTGTCAATGGGCAAGAGTGGAACAGGCATCCCATGGAGTATACCTGGAAGATTCCTGGGTCTTCTGCATGAGTTGCCCCTAATGGCTACAGTGTTTCTAAAGGAGAAGGCAGGTACGTGGTAATTGGGGCGGCCATCCGTGTTAGCTAACTGCCTTTATCCAAAGTTAAAACAAACCTCATATCTCTATGACAAGCAGGCAATTACAACTTGGAGCCAGCCACCTGCTAAATTCCCAGAGACAAGGAGGGGAAATATCTTCCTTGGCCTTTATATTTCAAAGAAATCACTCTAAGGTCCTTAAGAAAGACATTCCTGGTTTATAAAACTGGCAAGAGGCTTATGTAGCTTTTTTAAAATTTTGCATATATCTCAAGAGGGCAAAGAAAGATTTTTCTATTAGAAAGTTTTCTAAAAGAAATGCTCTTGGTGAAGGGAAAGGAGTGTCTCTTCCCTTGGGCACCATGAAAAATCCAACTTTAAAAAAAATATTTAGGGCCAGGCGTGGTGGCTGACACCTGTAATCCCAGCACTTTGGAAGGCTGAGACTGGTGGATCGCTTGAGCTCAGGAGTTCAAGACCAGCCTGGGAAACATGGCAAAACACCACCTCTACAAAAAAATACAAAAATTACGGGCGCCTGTGGTCCCAGTTACTCCGGAGGCTGAGGTGGGAGGACCGCTTGAGCCCAGGAGTCGGGCAGTAATTGCGTCACCGCACTCTGGCCTGGGAGACAGAGAGAGACCTTCCCCCAAAAAAATTAAAAAAGATTTAGTGTGGTGGCACGTTGCCTGTAGTCCCAGTTACTCGGGAGGCTGAGGCAGGAGGATCGCTTGAGCCCGGGAGGTCGAGGTTGCAGCCTGGGCGACAGAGCAAAACCCCGTCTCTAAAAAATAACATACATACCCTATGGCTCTTCCCACAACTGCTCATTCTCTGACACCTCAGTGCTCCCACTGTCCCGCTGAAGACAGGATGCTTTCCTTTCCATTCTCTAAGTCCTCCCTCGGGGCCCGTGCTCCTCACCTGCCCAGGTCGCACCTGCCCTCTCCCCTCACTCCGCTTTACCCCCGCCCGCCGCCCGTTCCGCACGCGCGTCTCAGCACCGAGCAGTTGGTTCTCCAATTCCAGCTCCACCGGAACAGGTCTGAAACCTCTCTGCACCTCGGTTTCCGCATTTAAGCGATGGCAGCAGCCTTCTCGAGGGGGCGGTGAGGTCAAAAGACTTACAGGTGGGAAGTGCAAGGTGCACAGTGGACGCGAGCTGGATTCTGAGCTTGATCACTACTTGGAGGTGGGGAAAAGGCGCCCCAGAGAGGGGGACAGTGCGCAGCCAGACGTCCTAGGTCAGGAAGGGCCGGGTCCAGAGGCCGGAGAACAACCCCCGGCTGAGGAGCGTCCGCAGGAACGCCCGGTGTTGGGGTCCCTTCCTTCCTTCGCAACCGCACGCCGCCGGCGGCACCTCTGCGCCTGCGCCCTCTCACCCGCAGATTCCGCCAAGGGCTTGTATGGGCTTAACCAAGAAGGAACAGGACTGCCGGAGCATTGAGTACTATCAGCCGCCTAGAGCGGACCCACGAAACCTGGAATTCAATTGGTTGGTGAGCTGAGGGGCAGGGCGGAAGTTCAGATTAGGAATTCAATTGGTTGGTGAGCTGAGGGGCACGCGGAAATTCAGATTAGGCATTTCCGGCCCAGGGGGTTTGGCTCGCCACGGCACGGGAGTCAGCGTTCGTGCTCCTTCCCTTTCCGTGGTCGAGCTGAGTGAGTCCCGAGCTAGGGCGCCTGGTGCGGAGGTGCCGGAGCGGTGCTGGGGCGGGCAGGGACGGTGCCGGGGTTCTGAGGGGCCAAAGGACGCAGCTCGCGGCCTCAGTGACCCGTAGAGGACGCGCCGAGGGCGGCTGCGGGTTGTTGAGCGCCCGCTTTGTGTTGACCGAGGGGCGGGCAGGGCGAGGGTGATGTGAGCCGGAAGCGGAGGCGGCCGGGCGTGCGGGTCCGCGGGCTGTCCTCCACGCTCCGGAGCAACATTGAAGCAGGGAAGCCTGATGGATAAAAAGGCCTGGCAGAGGAAGGGAGTTTGGGCAATGTAAGGGGGTGAGCTGAATTGTGCTTTTTTTTTTCTTTTCAGAAGACAGAAAAGTGTATTTTATTTAGCAGGAATGGATTGAAAGGGTAGAGCGGTGGTGTGAAGGAGCGTCTGCTGTGGGGAAGGAAAGGAACAGGCAGGAAATGATATCTCACACATGCGCTGGAACAAGCTGAACGCTCATTCGTTTAGTAGGCACTCGGTAAATGCTGACTTACTGATTAAGACAATTGAGACTTAGTATTGTTTGCGGTTTGCTAATACTGTGCTGAGCATTTTATACATATTCTCATTTAACTCAATATAGTCACTTAAGGAGTAGTGTTAATCTCATTTTATGGTCTGTGGGAAAACTCAAGTCACTTACCTGAGACCTCCGCATTAGTAAGTGGTGGATCCAAGGTTAGAATTCAGTCCTATTCGAGTCCAGAGCCCATGCGCCTAACAGCGGCATTACATGCCTCCCGCATGAGTTTAGGAGTGAAGGCAGAGTGCGTTAAGAGGCACCGCTTGTGATTCACAAAGGGCAGAAGCAGCAGGGGCCAGTCAAAGGCAAGCCCTGTCTGACGACTGGAAGATTCCCTCTGACCAAGGTGTGCCTCAGCTGGAGACTGTGAAGACATCAGTGAGCTTGTGTTCATCGGCCAGTCAGAAAATCTGTCCAAGAGAGGCTTAAATGACGAAGATGAGGCAGGGTTTGTTCCAGAGTTTGTTGTGAAGTGCCAGGGCTCTAGAATGTGTCTCTGACTTTCCTTTGTGGTCACTCCATTCCCCTTACTTCCCTTCAGATGCCTCTTGGCAAACTTCCCTTAGCATCTCGGTGACGAGAACTGGGCCTTGCGGTCACCTAGAGCCGAGGGAAAAGGGCGCATTTCCTCCTGAACTAAACGAAGGAATTTGTTTATGTGCAGAGGGCTGTGAGGAGGTGACTTGCTGTGTATGCCGAGGCCAGTTGGGAAGGCTTTTGTGGGAGTGACATATGTCACTGCTAAAATAAAACCAGATTTGTGGTTTTAGATGTCATCTGTGTACTGACAGTTTTCAGTATATACCCAACCAGCCCAACTTCACTCTTGAATTTTCAATTTGTATATCCAAATGCCCTAATTTTCCATTTGTAAATCTAATAGGTATCTTAAACATTACTGTATACAAGAAAACTTTTACATTTAATCCTTCTGCAGTCTTACTCATTTGAGTATATGGAAATTTCATCATTTCAGTTGCTCAGGCCAAAACTCTTGTGTCTCGGCCTACATGAAATTCATCTGCAAATCCTATTGATTGTGCTTTTGAAATGTATCCATAATCTGACTGCTTTTTGTCACTTCTGCCACCACCAGTCTAGTCCAAGACATTCATCTCTAGCTGGATTGTTGCTAGAACCTTCTGACTGGTTTTGGTTTTTTCCTTACCCCCACCCCATAGTCTATTCAAAGCACCCTCAAAGCAGCAGCTGTGGAGACCACATCTGAGGTCATATCACTCTTCCCAGACATTCAGAATAAAACGCATAGCCCTAAGGCCCGCAAGGTACCCTCCCCAGAGGGTACCCACCTATTGCACCCTCCCCTACTCTGTTCAGCCCCTCTGGCTTCCTTGCCTGTCCTTGAACACAGGTGTGCTTGCATCTCAGAACCTTTGCACTTGTGCCCTCCTCCTGCCTGGGATGTACCTCCCTGATATCCACATGGTGCCTACCCTCGCTCCATCCAGATCTCCGATTTGTTGTCACTTTATCGGAGGTGTCTTCCCTGGCCATCCTGTGTAAAATATCTCCACCACCAGCCGCTGCCCTCATGCTGCGGCATTCATTCTTTGTGTGTCACACATACATGTCAACTTCTCCATTTGCTCATTCACTGCCTCAGCACAAGAGCCTGGTCCGCTGTTCTCAGCTGTTTGCCCTCTGCCCAGGACCTCATAGGTGGGCCTGGGAAATGCATTGTATTCTCTCTCCTGGCCAAGTGCACCGCGAGGGTCCTGGATTTCACATGGTGGCCTCAGGATGCTGTCATCCCAGGGGCCTCAGGAAAGCCTCTCTTGAGACATGGAGAAGTATAGCAGGAAAGTGGGGAGGGGATATGATCTCAGAGACCACTGGCTACTTTTAGTTCATCCACCTTTCCTGGGGTGTTCAGGCAGCTCATAATTGGGTCTCTGCTACTACAAAAGGTCTGGGCCCTCTTAGAGCACCTGTGGGGAGCAGAAGGTTGGTCAGGCTCCATCACCCTCTTCTCCCCGCGGCTCTGCCCACACCTCAGGACAAGCTCAGAGACCTAGTGATGGCTGTCATGCAGCTCCTTTGTGGGCTCCAGGTGAGTGGTCCTCATGGAGACTCTTCCATGTGACCTCAGCCTTTTCTTGGCAGGAGTCTATGAGGGGCTGGTCCCAGAGGGTGGACAGCTCCCTGTCTCCTCCGATGTCCTCTGTTCCTGAGTTCAAGTCCCTGAAATGTACTTCTCACTGTTTTCCTGTCCCTGGACCAGGTACAGTAGAGGTCAGGATTGGGGCACACCAAGATGAGCCAATATAGTGTCTGCCTTAAAGAGTTGACATTAGTGGGGAAGACAGGTACATGTTCCCAGAGGGATTTTACCAGTCCTGAGCCTAGTGTCTTCTCCCTCCAGTTCCTGACCTGAGGGCTGCATCAAGATCTTGTCATTCCACATCATGGTTTCCTTTGAGGATGTGGCTGTACTCCTCTCCCAGGAGGAGTGGGACTGTCTGATCCCTGCTCAGAGGGGCCTCTACAGGGATGTGATGCTGGAGACCTATGGGAACCTTGTCTCACTAGGTAAGTTCCCTCCCTGGGGCTCGGCTCCTGGGCTTCCTGCTCCTTAACCTTGAGGCTCAAGCTTGGGGCTCAGAGGCTCCTCATATTCTGGGACCAAAGACCAGACATTTTGACCCTGGTACCATGCAGGTCTAGTTTGCACAGAGATGGGAACAGGTGGTACTGGGACCCTCCTTGATTTTTTTTTAATAGGCAGTGTCTCACTCTTGCCCATCCTGGAATATAGTGGCAAGACCATAGCTCACTGTAACCTTGGCATCTTTGGTTGAAGAGATCCTCCCACCTCAGCCTCCCAAGTGCCTGGGACTATAGACAAGGGCCACCATGCCTGTCTTATTTTATTTTTTTAGAGACAGAGCCTGTATGTTGCCCAGGTTGGTCTCAAACTCCTAGCCTCAAGGAATCCTCCCACCTTGGCCTCCCAAAGTTCTAGAATTACAGGCATGAGCCAGCATGCCTGACCAACCCTCCCTGGTGTACAGAAGGAGAATATTATTCATTGCACAGTTAGTACATTCCTATCCCTGAATTAATCTTTCTGCATCTTGAAGATCAGTGGTAGGATACACAGTTTATAAATGAACCTGAGGCTAACAAATACTGTCACTTTTCATAAGTTTACACAGCCTATTGGTGGCAGATCTGGGATTTGGATCTGTTTAGTTTCAGGGCCCTGCTTTCCTTTCACGGGAATGTACTCTTCCCTTTAGCCCTTTTTTTTTTTGTTTTTTTTTTTGTTTGTTTGTTTGTTTGTTTGTTTCTGCTAGCCTTTATTTGAGAAAATTTACACAAAAATCCCCAATCCAACATTTACAAGTGAATCTGTATAAACCCCTTATGCCTCTTTCCCAAACAAACTGAAAAATGGCTTTATGACAGGGGTCCATGACAATGGTATAACAAGATTTACTTAAACTGCATCATTCTCATTTAAGTTATACTGACCATTTTGGATAATATGCTCAAAAATGGAGGAAAGCACATAACACCCTTGTTTTTAAAGCTTATTTCCTCTTGTATCAGTCTTTTGTCAAAGGCAAATACTTTTACTTTTTGGATAAAACCAAGGTATAATATCAATTAACTTTTAAACCAAAAGCACAAAATGTCCCAGTTGATAGTTCTGGCATGAGTAAAGGGAAGGGACATGAAAGAATGTCAATTCCTACAAAACTTAAGTTTAGGGTCACACTTGGGAACAAAAGCATCAACAAAATAAAATATTCTCTTCTATCTTCTTGACATTTTGTCACATCAGAAGAACATAACAGAGTAGCTTTCATTGCTCCTAAAAAGGGGAAAGGCACCAGTCAGAAATAGGAAAGAAAATCTTGTTAGGCTAATGGTACATGATAGAATTTCACATTAAAAAGTTTACAGATGGAGGCTGGGCATGGTGGCTCACACATGTCATCCCAGCACTTTGGGAGGCTGAGGCCAGCAGATCACTTGAGGTCAGGAATTCGAGATCGGCCCGGCCAACATGGTGAAACCTCGTCTCTACCAAAAATACAAAAACCAGCCAGGCATGCTGGTGTGCGCCTGCACTGCCAACCACTTGGGAAGCCGAGGCAGAAGAACCATCCGAACCCAGGAGGTGAAGGTTGCAGTGAGCTGAGATAGCACCGTTGCACTTCAGCCTGGGCATCACAGCAAGACTGTCTCAAAAAAAAAAAAAAGTTTAAGGATGGAGCTTTTTTTTTTTTTTTTTTTTTTTGAGACAGAGTCTCGCTCTGTTGCCCAGACTGGAGTACAGTGGCTGGATCTCAGCTCACTGCAAGCTCCGCCTCCCAGGTTTACGCCATTCTCCTGCCTCAGCCTCCTGAGTAGCTGGGACTACAGGCGCCCGCCACCTCACCCGGCTAGTTTTTTGTATTTTTAGTAGAGACAGGGTTTCACTGTGTTAGCTAGGATGGTCTCGATCTCCTGACTTCGTGATCCTCCCGCCTCAGCCTCCCAAAGTGCTGGGATTACAGGCTTGAGCCACCGCGCCCGCCCTTTAGGATGGATCTTAACCCACATGTTATTTTCTCTACTTGGATGCATCCTCTGTAACTTAGTATATGTAATACTACAGATAGATTTTTTCAACATCTGCTGCCTATGGTAAGGACCTGCAACCAGGTTCTCAAAAGCAGTACCTGCCAGTTCTTAACAGCAGATGGCAATGTTGTACAAGTTAACAACGGAACTACTTTTATGCCACCCCAGAGGAAGATACAAGAAGTCAAAAGGGAAAAAAAAAAATAGAACCGATTTGGGTTCATAGTAGCAGGAACATAAACAGAATAGCCTAAGATTTTAACAACGTAACTCATTCCTTCTTCCACCTTTGTACTTTATCCAGGTCAACACATCAGGATTCTCTAACAATTCCAGTATTCTGCTGCTTTACTGTAAGATACATGTAATTCTTGCCACTGTGATTAAACAAGCCCTGTAATAGTCAGCAGGGTTAAAAAGAGATTACAGAAAGGATAAACTCCTACCTACTTTCTTGGGAGATGTGGGAAAGATTTCAAGTGACAACATTTTTCATAACTGTTTATAAACATGGTCATTTATATTCACATTTTCTCTTATTTACATTAGTTTTGACCCTTAGGCACCTCATACTCCTACAGTGATTATTGGCTTTGCTTTCATTTGTTTTGGATTTTTAAGTATTTACTCTAGATGGTCCTCCTAGATATCTATTTTATACATCATATCTCTTAATTCTCTAGATGGAACACTGAAGGACAGGAATTAAGTGACTGGCCATGCAAGAAGAGTTGGAAATTTTACTTATTTTTCCTTGGTAGAAGTTATGTTAAAAATTCAAGCAACCATGTATCTAACAGAGGAGTTTTATCTGGGATGTATAAAAACTCTCAAAACTCAATAGTTAAAAGAATAAATGACTTAAATAGAAAATAGACAAAAGACATGAACAGAAATTTCAATGAAGAGGATATATAGATGGCAAATTAACATATGAAAAGATACTCAACATCATTAGCCACTGGAAAATGCAAATCAAAACCACATGTGGTATCATTACACACAGCTATGTGAATGGTTAAGATAAAAAAATAGTAGTAATACCAAACACTGGTAAGGATGTGAAGAAACCGGATCCGTCATACATTGCTGTATGAATTGTATGAGTGGCTGTATGTAAAAGGTACAGCCACTCTGGAAAAAGAGTAGGGTAGTTTCTTACAAAAATGTACATGTTTACCACACAACCCAGCAATTGCCTTTTTGAGCATTTATCCCAGAAAATGAAAATATATGTTCACATAAAAACCTGTACATGAATGTTCACAGCAGCTTTATTAGTAAGGGCAAAAAACTGAAAACAACTCTTATGTCCTTTAGTAGGTGAATAGTTAAGCAAACTGTGGTACATCCATACCATGGCATACTACTCAGCAATCAAAAGGAAATGCCCAGACTTCACCACGATGCAATATATGCATGTAAGAAATCTGCACTTATACCCCCAAATATATGAAACATTTTTAAAAGAAAAAAAGGAAGAAACTATTGATACATGCAACAACTTGGATGAATTTCAACGGAATTATGCTGAATGAAAAAAAGTCAACCTCATAAGATTACATTCTATATAATTCCATCCATACAACATGCTTGAAATGACAAAATTACAGAGTTGGAGGACAGAACAGTGGCAGCCGCAGGTTTTGGTTAGGGGATAAGAAAGAGATGTGGCTGTGGCTGTAAAAAGGCAGTGGAAGGGATCCATGTGACAGAACTGTTCTGTCTGTCATGATGGTGGTCACATGAATCTACACATGTGATAATACTGTATAGAATTAAATACACATACACGAAAAATGTTCAAGCAGTTAAGCACGAATATTTTAATTGTCTAAAATGACATTTTCTTTAAGAGTTATCTACAGTTCAAAGCTCACTTTTATGAAGTGTCACATCCATCACCATTTTAAGAGACATAAAATCATGAAAAGATATCACCAGAAGCTACATAAACGTTTCAGCTAAGGGTAAAGAGAAAGTTAAGAGTGTTTTCGCAAGGAAATTGAAAGAGGACAATCCAAATGAAGTCAATATGGTCACACAAAAATCTTGGTAAAAGAACTAGAGTGGAAGCCCAAACCGCTGAGCAAGTGGGAGAAGAAAAGAAAACATGGTTCAAACAGATCACACAAGGGAACCCAGGACAAATGCTGACTTTGACTTTATCTAGGTAATTCCTATCTTTCTGTCATAGGTGACTCTAATAATAGACCTATTGTTGTAAAAACCAGTCAAAATTCTACCAAATTAAAAAGAAGTCCCTCATTGACTTGTTGGGTATAGGTGGTACCCCATGTCCTCCCACACCAAAAGAGATCAGTTCTGGCAAGAAAGCTCCAACCAACCTTGATAGTGCTGCTGATAGGATGCCTTAGGCCAGGCATGTCCCAGCGATGTTCTGCTGGCTGAGGTACAAGGTGGGAGTAGAATATGCCTCATTCATTACTCGATCAACTTCTTGGCCTTGAAGAAGCATTGCAGGTAGAAGACCTGCCAGGTGGCTAGTCCAATGAGGCAGAACATTGAAAAGATGCTGAAGTATAGGACCCAAGTGTTTGTTGACTCATTGGTATCACACTTCTCCTCTTCTCTCTTCTTCATGTAGGCAAAATCATTAACAGTAGATTCTGAAAGGTCTTCTAGGTGTTGCAGCTTCACCTCTAATGGTTTGAGCTTCGCAACTTTTGCAATCTCTTCATAATTTTTTGCCTCCACTCCATGCTTCATGTCTAGCATCATGAGTTGGTCAGGTATCTGCCCTGTTCCCTTGCTCTCAAAACACACTTCAAACGTCATAATCTTCAGTGGTAAAGGAAAATTTCCCCCTTGGTTGCCTCCTTTTTGGAGTAGAAAATATGGCCAGCAGAATCTGTAATCTTGAGGAATGGCTGCGCAGGCCGCCAGTGCCCCCAGACTGGTCGGAGATCTCGTACGCACCAGTCACTAGCAGGTCCTTGTGGATCTCCTCATGGAGGCACTTGCGAGAATTAATGGGCAGATGGAAGGAAATGGCAAGGACCAAGCTGGGGCTGAGCAGGAACAAAAGCAGCAATGCCAACGGACAAGGGCCATGCCAGGCTGGTGGGCCGGACAAACCAGACATGGTGTTGGAGACTCATTCCCCCTTTAACCCTTCTGCTGGGCATCAACACCTCCTACTATGAGTCCTCTACCATGATGTGTTCAGGCCACAGTGCTGTCCTATCTATGCCCCCTGTCCCCCTGAAAAGCTAGTTTTGACCTTTCTTCAGCTTAGGCAGAGGTCTGTGTCTTTCTTCATGGTTAGAGACTAGGTGGCAGGGAAGCACACAACCATCACACAGACTCAGACCACAGGTCCATCCTACCCTCTACCTGGGTGAACTTTTGGCTCTTGTTTCCTTTCTCTGGAACAGGACTGCAAGCTTCCAAACCTGATGTCATCTCCAGGCTGGAGCAGGGGGACAAACCATGGACCCCACACATCCTGAGAACTCAGATTAGCTGGAGCTGGAGGCACAAGAGAGAATGTGAGTCTGCTCCCACTTTCTGCTTCTGTGGTAGATGCTGCAGCTTCACTCACGAATCCCTTCTCTACAAGCTCCAGACAAATCTCTTGTTACCCTCAGGCCTTTGCTTTCCTCCTCCTTTTTCTATCTTGTCCTCTTTTCTTGCTGTTATTTGCCCCTGTTATCTCTCCATAAGTAGATTTGTGTTTTATTTACCCTAGAAAATGCTCTTTCAGCCACAAAAAAGAGCTCAAGTGTCTTTCCCTGGCAGCTGGCTCCCAGTCTCTTCACTTCCATGTCATCCACTCCTTAGGCTGTTTGGGAAAAATGCTAATTACATTTTTCCTCTGCTCTGACACCACAGCAACAATCAACAAAGACTTTGTGACCAAATGTGTGGAGGGCTTTTCCCATGCTCCAAACAGCTCTAATTCAATTCCATTTTGGTGCTCTCTTCTTGGAGATAGCCTGACATCCCACAGGCTGAGGGCTCAGTCTCTGAGACTGTCCTCTCAAGGCACTACTTGGAAGTTCAAGATTTCCAAACTTCAGACCAACAGGATTCAAGTCGGAGTTCCCATGACCCTCACTCTGGGTTCTATTAATTTGCTGGAGCAGCTCACAGAACTCAGGGAAACACTTAGATTTGCCAGTTTAGGCCGGGCGCGGTGGCTCACGCCTGGAATCCCAGCAGTTTGGGAGGCCAAGGTGGGCAGATCACTTGAGGTCAGGAGTTCAAGACCAGTCTTACCAATATGGTGAAACCCCATCTCTACAAAAAATACAAAATTAGCCAGGCATGGTGATGTGCATCTGTAGTCCCAGTTAGGAGGATGAGTCATGAGAATCACTTGAACCCAGGAGGAAGAGGATGCAGTGAGCTGAGATCATGCCACTGCACTCCAGCCTGGGTGGCAGAGTGAGACCCTGTCTCAGAAAAGAAAAAAAAAAGAGATTTACCAATTTATTATAAAGGATAAAGGTGAAGAAATGTGTAGACTGTGGTATGGGGGAAGGGGTGTGGAGTTTTCATGCCCTCCCTGGGTGCATCACCCTCTAGGATCCTATCTACTTAGCTATCCAGCAGCTCTCTGAACCCTGTCCTCTTAGGTTTTTATAGAGACTTTATTATGTAGATATGATTGATTAAACCATTGGCCATTGGTGATCAACTTAACCTTTAGCTCCTTTCCCCTCTCTGAGTTTGGGGCTTTGGAGCTAAGAATCCCGACCCTGAAATCATGCCTTGGCCTTTCCAGTGATCAGCTTCATCCTAAAGCTGTCAGTCAACATAAGCCTACGAAAAGAAAGCACTTTGGAGATTACAAGGATTTTAGGAGTTGTATGCCAGGTCATGGGGGTGAAGACCAAATATATATTTCACACTGCCCACAGGGTTTGCTGACCAGCTCTGTTTTGGCTGCTTGGAGATGCCACTTAGAGAGACGTTCGTTCTCTTCCAAGTCTCTCATTCCTGCTGTTATTCACTCAGAGCATCCCAGGCTGATTCTGGGTCTTAAGGAAACAGATGAGCTAGAAAGCATTTCTTCCTGTGTAGTGGGGGGCCTGAGCATGTAAACAGTAAGCAGAACAGAGTCCTGGGGCTCCATGCTGCCACACAGCTAACGTTGGTCATTTGTGCTTGATGCAGGCCTGGCACTGTGCTGTCACAGTGAATTTATGGAATTTGCCAATATCTCTTTACAATCTGTGCCCAGGAAACTGAGGCACAGAGAGATTAAATGGTGGCCCCAGATCACACAGCCGGCCAGGGACAGAACAGGGTTGGGTTCCTGGCAGATTTATCTCAGCTCCATACTCTTATTTATTTTCCTTAAGGAACCAGCTTTATTGAGGTGTAATTAACATACAATATGTTAACAAATATTTAAAGTATATAATTTTATATGTTTTGACATATGTATACACATGTGAAACCATTGCTACAATCTAGGGCAGATATATCCATCACCCCCAAAAGTTTTCTCCTCCTTCATCATCTTTCACTCCTTCCTACCTTTCTCACTCCTTCCCACTTATATCCTGAAGTAATTACTGATCTCCTTTCTGTCACTATAAATTATATTTTCTAGAGTTTTATGTGAAAATGGAATCATTGAGCATGTATTCTTTTGGTCTGGCTTTTATTCAACAAAATTATTTTGAGATGTGTTTATGTTGTATATCAATAATTCTTTTTATTTCTGAATAATATTGTATTGTTTGAATATACTACAATTTGTTCATACTCTGTTAACAAACATTTGAGTTGTTTTCGTTTTTTGGTCAGTATACATAAAGCTGCTGTGAACATTGCCTTCCACTCATCTTGTACCTCCCTAAGTTGTTGTGAGTTGTCAAGAATGGTTACTAGTCTCTCCCTTGTCCCCCAGGTGCAGTCACTCATCCAGCATTAAGGCCAGGATTCATTGCTTTCCAGGGCTGCTGAATAGCTATCTTCCTGGCACTTTCCATTCTTACTCTCTTACATTGGAGTCACCATCTATTGAATTCCGTGTCTATTTGTTCATTTATTCCTTGTTTTGCTGAAGTACATCCTCAAATAGGTTGAGCCCTTTTGTGTCTCAATATGGCTTTATTCTACCCTCATGTTTCTGAGTCCTTATGTATGAAATGTTTTATAAACTTCATATAAGTCGAATTATTTTATTCAGTCTGACAGTCATTTTTTTTAGAGTGTGCAGTAAAGGGTTAACTCAGAGGCCTGCACTGCCCAAATCCTGCATATTCCAAAGGTCTTTAGGACTAACCCCTTGACTAGCTTCTTGGAGGTAACCTCTAAGCTGTTGGAATATTCTGCCTGGTAAAAGTATTTGAGTACACCTGGGGCCTTGGGCTATGCTGGTTTATGCTAACTATGTGATTTAAAGCAAATGCTTATTTCTGTTTGCCTGGGTCCCTGGACCACAGTGTATCAGATTAACCCCTGAGGGGAGCTGTCAAGGTACCTGAGTGCCCCAAGTCCATGTACTAACCATTAATAAAAATCCTGAACACTAAAGCTTAGGTGAGCTTCCCTGGTCATCAACACTTTGCATATGTTGTCACACATGGTGGCCGGAAGAATTAAGGTCTGTCCAGGTGACCCTACTGGAAGAGGATACCTGGAAGTTCACACTTGGTCTCTCCTGGACCCTGTGTGGCATTTTCCTTTGCTGATTTTTAATTGTATCGTTTTGTCCTAATAAACTGTGTAATTGTGAGCATAAGAGCTTTTCTGAGTTCTGTGAGTCAGAAAATTAGTAAATTATCGAACATGAAGGTGGATTTGGGTACTCCTCGCAGAGTGCTTTGTCCATGTAAATGCAACACAATTATTGATAAAGTTGAGAGTAAGTCTGCCATCTTGCTATTTGTTTTCTATTTGTCTCATCTATTTTTTTTCTATACTATATATATATATATATATATATATATATATATTTTTTTTTTTTTTTTTTTTTTTTTTTTTTTTTTGAGATGCAGTCTCACTCTGTCGCCCAGGCTGGAGTGCAGTGGTGCAGTCCCAGCTCACTGTAACCTCCACCTCCCAGGTTCAAGTGATTATCCTGCCTCAGCCTCCCAAGTAACTGGGACTACAGGTGCCCACCACCATGCCTGGCTAATTTTTTTATTTTTAGTAGGGATGGGGTTTCACCATGTTGGCCAGGATGGTCTGTATCTCTTGACCTCATGATCCAGCCACCTCGGCCTCCCAAAGTGCTGGGATTACAGGCGTGAAGCACTGCGCCCGGCCTCTTGTATTCTTTTGAATAAATCAAACTTTATATGTAATTTTATGTTTCTTCTCCATTAGCTTTTTAGCTGTACATTCTTTCTTAAGTGATGACTCTGATGATTAAATATGTCTCTTTGACTTACTATGGTCTACCTTAATATTTTTACCACTTCTTGGAAAATGCAAGATCCTTACAATTCCTTTCGTCCCTCTCCTTCCTTTCATTATTATTGTCACTTATTTTGTACTACCAACTTTGAAACCTCACCAGAGAGTTTATTCCATTGCTATTTCTTGACAGTAAATATTCATTTAGAGTTACCCTTTCTAGTGTTTTTCATTCCTTTCTGCAATTCTGTACTTCTGTTCAAGATCATTATTTTCAGTTTGAAATTTTTCCTTTAGTATTTCTTGTACTTAAGTTGGCATTATTCTGTGAGCTTTTGTCTGAAAGTGTCTTTGTTTTCCTTTCTTGATTTTTTTCCTTTATTCAATGGATATGATGTATTAATTGATTTTTGGATGCTAAACAAACCTTACATTTCTGGGATAAGTCCCACTCAGTAATGGTGTATAATTTTATATATATATATTGTGGAATTTGATTTGCTAGCATTTTGTTGGGGAATTTTGTGTCTGTATTTATTAGAGATACTGATCTGTTGTTTTATTGTCTGTTTTTGGTATCAGGGTAATACTGTTTTCATTGAATAAATCGGGAAGTGTTCTCTTGTTTTTTTGGAAGAGTTCGTGAAGAATTAGTATTAAGCCTTTTTTTCTATTCTGTAGTTCATTAGTTTCTGTTATATTCCTTATTTTCTACCTTCTGCTTGATTTGGGTTTAGTTCTTTTGTTTGTTTGTTTGTTTTCCCCAGTGTTTTAAGGTTGATTTGGGTTTAGTTTGTTTGTTTGTTTTCCCCAGTGTTTTAAGGTAGAAGATTAGGTTGTTGATTTGCTCCCTTTTAAAAATAAAAAATTAGGCATTGAGGGATGGCCAAGACAGCCAAATACAAACAGCTCCGGTCTGCAGCTCTCATTGAGACCAACACAGAAGATGGGTGATTCCTGCATTTCCAACTGAGGTACCCAGTTCATCTCATTGGGACCAGTTAGGTAGTGGAGAGGGAGTGGAAGCAGGGTGGAACATCGCTTCACCCAGGAAGTGCAAGGAGCCAGGGGACCTCCCTCCTCTCCCAGCTAAGGGAAGCCATGAGGGACTGTGCTACACAGCCTAGGTAGTACACTTTTCCCATGGTTTTTACAATCTGCAGATCAGGAGATT